CACGTTTTCACAAAAACAAAACGTTTACTTTACATTTCAGCCTTTAAACCATTTTTAAGAAAATGGATGAGTCAAAAGTATTAATTATTAAATTAATTTATAGAGTGTGTTATTTTGCTGATATCTTATCTCTAATTGTGCTAACAGCTGACTCCTGAATTTTTTTTATATTCTTCATATTCTGTGTGGTCAGTTCACAGCAGTGATAGAAATTAATCATTTCCAATAAGTTTTATGGGCATTTTTAACTTTAAGCCATTTTTTCGAAAAGTGTGCACCATCTTTTGAGTCAAATTCTTGCATTTGGGCTGTTACCAAGCAAATGAAATCAGTATCAACAAAATGTATCTTTGCAATGCAGAGGAAACACAGAAGCATATTCTGCCCCATATCTTGAATTATGTGATAACTCTAAATGCATTTTAATAGACTGATTAATGCAGTGAAAGAAAGCACTATAAATGCGCATGCGCACTAGTCTAACCTGCTAGACTTCATCACGTAATGTATGCGCGCACTCTGTAGGTGTTTTGTTTGCTTTTCGTGATATACTCGATAATATCAAATCGCACATCGTTAAAACAATTACGATATTATCACAAACCATACATATCACACACCACTATACTGTTTAGATTTTTAAAATGCATTGTCTTCTTATCGATCTACCAGTTCACATTTAAAGCTTTGCGTGTTTGCAGGGTAAAAACATGGGTCGATTTTTGCATTTGTCTGAAATCTAAACAAAACAACAGTTTTATTGAAAATGCACAATCATTCTCTGCCAGCAGGTGACGCTTTTGGCAACAGCACCGGACCTGCAGCACTCATGTTTATTTAATGAAATCATAGCCTTTTGAAGTTCAATCGTCACATGTCACATTCTTGCAATTCTTGTCGTTCCGTCCCCAAATTTAAGACCTCTTGACATCATAATTAAGACTTTCTTGTACCATTTAAGACCTTTTATGGCCTTAAATGTAATTCAACTAATTTTTAAGACTTTTTAAGACTTTTTAAGGACCCGTAGAAACCCTGTTATTATTAATTATTAAACAGTTGTGCTGTATTAAAAACAAATAAATAAACAAATTAAATAAAAACAAACACACTTTTTTCAAAATATCTTCTTTTCCAAAATGTCTTATGTGTATTAAGTAACATGCTGGTTTGGATGAACATGAAGGTGAGTACTGATGACAGTATTTTGTTTTTTTGGGTGAACTATCACTTTAAGTTGTCACCTGTTTGTGATACTTCACAGTGCCAGGGTTTTCAACCAAGGGTCCCTGTAAAGTACTGCATGGGGGTCATGTGTTTTAAACTATTAACTAATTTGTATAATGATAATGATTATAATGCAGTGATGTTAGTTAATGTTCTTGATGAAAGTTACTAGAAATTGTTACTGAGAAAATTCAGATAGTTAAACTGGTGACCCTGGGGTTGGCTGAGAGGTTCCTGAGTGTGTGAAAGTTGAAAACCCCTGCCATACTCCCATTTTAGAGTACATGGCATCTACATAGCATGTCTGTCAAGCTTGGCAAGCATCGCAACTCCCCAGAATTCAAAATGCTTAGCATATGTTCATGTTAAACTGCAGTGAAAATATTTCTGGAGTGCCTCAAAGCTGTAAAGTGATTTGTTAACGGACAGTTATCAAATTACAGCCTAATTACATGAGATAAAAACACTGTTAGGTTTTGTCTTGAACTAAAATCTGACCAAATAATACATCCTTCAGTCAAAATCGCTCAAACAGCTTTCAGACCTCGAGACTCTGAGCAAATCAAGCCATTAGTGTTAAATTCTCTAATTCTGCATTTCTGCATTAGCCTCTGTTTATGCAGGTATATTTCTATCCTTTTGCCTCTTATCTTAGTGTGCTCCTTGCCTTTGGTTGTTATTCAGTATCCACAATGGGGCGAGTTTGCTGTGACTGGAGGCCCACCTGCTGGGCAGGGGAGACAACCTCTGAGGCTGTTCACTTATCACTGTGTTTTCGGACAGGGCAGAGGCCAGGCGGGAGTCCACCAGGGCCTCCTCCAGCATAAAGCTCCCACTGGGTACTCTAGGAGGAAGCTCAATGCTCACTGTGGTCTCGTCCAGATGGGGCGGCATGGGGGTGCTTCTGGGAGTGGACATGGTCGGTGTGGGAGGAGCATCACTGAAGACACTGTCACTCTGCCGTCAAGGGAAACACAATTAACTGTGGTTGCAGTGAGACTAATTACAAATGCCACCTGGTTACACTTTAATTTGTGATTTTTACAGTAAAATTATACAATTAAGTACTACTAATTAACACTATGTACTGTGTATAATTATTATGTATATATAAATACACAAACCATTTTAAAAATATTTACATGTATATAAATATTTATATTCATATATAATTTATATATAAATATAAATATTTGATATATAAACAAAACATTTTTCTTAAATATATACATGCATGTGTATTTATATATACATAATTATACACAGTACGCACACATGTAAACAAAAACGTTTATTTTGGATGCGATTAATCATGATGAATCGTTTGACAGCACTAATTAAAATAGAAAACCACAGTAAATAGTATAATACTTCACAATATTACTGTTTTTTGCTCAAATAAACACATGAGAAACGCATGAAAGACCTTTTTCAAAAAAGTTACATTTTTGGCCCATAGTGTACATGAAACAAGGACACGAAAATAATACTGTTGGTTATCTTAAAGCACACTGATTGTACTATTCCCACTGGATTTTTAATGTTAGATGCTGGGTGTTCTTACCCTGAAGAACTCCTCTTCTTCCATCATCTCCCCCTCCAGCCCTTCCTCATCCTCCATCGCTATAGCCAGCCGCATCTCTGGGGCCAGATCCTGTAGTGTGCGTAACCCGGCCTGGACCACACAAGATCAGAGTCAAACATGTGTTGTGTGTTTTTGCTGAGTATCATATTTGGCTCATAGTGTATGATATAGAGAGAATATGGAGCTCATACTTGAGGAGGAAAAAACATATGCAAATCGGTGCAGTTGCTGATACTTATATGGCCAAAGAAATAGCTTGTAATATACTCAATGAGGTTTTTATAACAGTATAAAAGACTACTTGCATAAAATGCATAAAAATATCAGTTGTCACTCTATATCTCCCAATAATGTCTTAGTAAAATGATATTTAAATCTCAAACGATACGAACATCATCACAACATGCCACTGAAAAAAAGTATGCACTTTAAATAAGAAATAAGAAAGTTCATGCTGCCCAATTCAGCTTTCTATGTCATACTTAATTTTGCTGTTAAACATTATATATTATAAATATATTATTTCTGATCTGAAATAGTTATAAATCCAATGCATGCAAAACGGCCATATGAAAAGCAAGGCAACACATTCAGACAACTGTCATAATTCTTTACCTGGAGCGAGGCTGACTTGTCCTTGCCTTTCTTCTTCCTCTCTTTCTCCTTTCGCTTGCGAAATTTTTTGAAGTAGTCCTGAATCAGGAAGCTGGCATAGATTGTCTTCTCCACCAGTTCACATTTAAAGCAGGGTAAAAACATGGGTCGATTTTTGTATTGGTCTGAACTCTGAACAAAACAACAGTTTTATTGAAAATGCTCATTCATTCTCTGCCAGCAGGTGGAGCGTTTGGTAGAAATATAACTGTTTCCCCGGTAACAGCAGAACACAAAGCAGCACAGCACCGGACTTTGAACCTGCAGCACTCATGTTTATTTAATGAAATCATAGCCTTTTGAAGTTCAATCGTCACATTCAGCCATATCGCAATTCTGGTCTTTCCATCCCCAAATTTAAGACCTCTTGAAATCATAATTAAGACTTTCTTGTACAATTTAAGACGTTTTAAGGCCTTAACCTGTTACAACAACTCCAGTGTTCCGCCCGCGGTACACTACATACATTGAGGGTTAACTTTGTGAAACACAAAAAAAAAAGAAAAAAAAAAGGTAAACGTGTCATATATCTTTGGAAAGCTGAGATTCTTGTGAATCGAATGATACAAACATTTTAAGATACAATCAACACAGCAGGTACAATCAGTGTCTTTGTCAGACCAACAACAACCAAATAAACGATAACAAAACTGAATGAACTCACCTATGAAGCCTCTTGTTAGTTCACTAGTTCATTACATTCCAACAAAAATGGTGTAGTTGCACTGTAAAGGGTCCAGACTATCCAATTCAGGGAAATATTTAGTCCATAACACATTTATATGTTGATAAACCTCCACAGAGTGTAGGAGTATAATTTCAGATTAGCCGACGGAGCGCTCAAAGCTTCGGCGCATTCTGAAGTATAGCCCGTGTATACACATAAACAACATCAGTGAAATATTTAGTCCATAACACATTTATATGTTGATAAACCTCCACAGAGTGTAGGAGTATAATTTCAGATTAGCCGACGGAGCGCTCAAAGCTTCGGCGCATTCTGAAGTATAGCCCGTGTATACACATAAACAACACAGAATAATCGATGTCAAAATGGCCGCTGACCTCTGCCCTTTTGATTGACACCTTATTTGAACCAATAGCTGCATCTTTCAGGTGACAACAAGCAGCGATAGCCAACTAGCACCCAGGATGAAGGATGAGGCCGCCTCTCTTTGATCGACAGTAGATCGATCCAATTGCATCAGAGTTTGCAAATGACTGTCGTTTCTGATAGCCAATGAACTTCTGAACAGAATATTATGTGATTTGAGTGGGCATCTTTGATATATCAGCGCAGAAGTCCGTGCGCAAAGGATTACAGAGACTGGTGCGTCCGTGCGTAATCTGAGTGCTCTATGAGAGATAACGGGGAAGAGGTGGTTAGAGGTCAAAAACTATCAAAGAGAACGCGAAAAACAACCCCTTTGTTCTAAGTAGTTGTTAAGCAATGTATAACAATAAAATTGGCCGGACAATAAAAGTTTTTTTTGACGGAGAGTGCGATATTTCATCCATTGAAGCAGATGAGCGGATATGGGTTTGAATGGAGGAGACTCACCCTCAACAAGTGCTTTATTATATTATATAATTATATTTATATATATTTTACATATAATTATGTATATTATACATTTTACTGTATATATTGAGGTATGTGTTTGTGGTGTTGCTAACTTCTGTCGTGTGTGTGTGTGTATATATGTGTGTCAAATCAAATCAAATCTCTTTATTGTCTCAAATCGTGTACACAAGTGTAATGATGGTGAAATTCTTGGGTAAAAGAAACAAGATATGAAAAATTAACAGTATACATAAATAACAATATACACATTTTACACAATATACAATTTTTTCACAATATACAATAGACAATTGTACACAATATACACATTTCCATAATATACACATAGTACACAGTATACTCAAGAGACTTACAAATGTATAGCTTTTATATATGACTTACAGTGATGTATACTGTAGTGTTTTATATTGAAGTTCAGTGCAGTAGTTTGTTAGTGCAGAAAAGAAGATGGAGGTACATGTGTTCTCTGCTATGCAGTGCTGTCAGAGTCAGTGTGCTGGTGTGTAGATGGAATCCAGTGTGAGGGGTAGGGTAGGTGGGTGATTATCGTTTTGCTGTCTAGAGTTCAGTAGTCTGATGGCCTGCGAGAAGAAGCTGTCTTGCGTTCTGCTGGTTCGGGTTCTGGTCTGCCTGATAGTAGCAGTGAGAAGAGTTCGTGGCTCGGGTGGCAGGAGTCTCTGCTGATCTTCGTGCTTTCCTCACACATCTCTGGGTGTAGATGTCCTGAAAGGAGGGAAGCTCACCTCCGACGATATGCTGGGCTGTCTGAACTATTCTCTGCAGGGCTTTCTGGTTGAGAGCAGTGCAGTGCCCGTACCAGGCGGTGATGCAGCCAATCAGGACGCTCTCCACAGTGCAACTGTAGAACTGTCTGAGGATTTTTGAGCTCAGACCAAATTTCTTCAGTCGCCTGAGGAAGAAGAGTTCTTGCTAACATGTGTGTGTGTGTGTGTGCATGTTATATGTGTTTGTGATTTGAGGTGTTCCTGCTAACTGCTAACTTGTGTGTTGCTTTTTTTTTTATATCACAGACAATCATCTGACATTGAATCGAATGAAGTCTGGGAGCCAGTCAGCAAAAAGCCATATA